CTAAACCCTTATAATAGAATAAATTAAATCCCTGAACCAGAAACCTGGAAGACCTGAAGCTCTTGCCCGAGCTTCAGAACCCTAAACCCCTCACTCACGCGCTATCCCTGCCCTTTTAGTCATACTGTGGATGATATAAATCCTGCATTACCTTAAGGAACCTAAACTATGGGAATTATGGGGGGTATATTCCTTGTTAATTACCCTAAACCCTAAACCCTAAATTCTAAACCCTAAGCCCTAAACCCTGAACCCTAAACCCTATTCCTTATTCTGGGTAATGCAGGATTTATACCATCAACCGTAGTAAGGATCCCTCCAAAGAGGCTTTTGACTTTAAGCTTAGGGTTCCCTTAGCCCTTAAAGTCACAGTAAAGATCCCTCTAAAGAGCTTTTAGGTCTAGGATGGCTTTTTGGTTTAAGGCTTTAGGGTTTATAAAGTCATAGTAAAGATCCCTCCGATCATAGGAGGTTTGAAGCTTTAGGGTGAGGGTTTAGGATTTTTTGGTTTTTTCCGATGTTGCCAGTGTCCAAAGACGCACTCCTAAATTCAGCGGCATGCAGTTACAGATCACCCCAGTAAGTATCTTGCGCTTCGCGCACCTTACTGGCGGGTCCGCAAAGGACTGCGTCCTCACACACAATAGCGGCGAGCTCGCCAGACCGCAGAGCTCGCGCTTCGGAAAAGACACCTAAAGCCTCAACTATCTTTACAGCAAGCGAGGCCACATCTTCGTACTGAAAATGTGGGAGAATGAGGGGAGGCTCCCAGCCAGACTCGACTGCCTGAATCCATGTTCTGAAAAAGGGCTCGAGGTGATGCACAGTAGACAGCGTTGTCAGCATCGCCAACGGATCAGGAGGGGCAGGAGTCACAGTACTAGAACCAGCCTCACCAAAACTTTGGGTCGACCACCATGGTGCAGGTCCTACCAGTGGAACTGGCGGGAGCGTGCCATCCGCCAGGGTTTCACGTGGTTGCCCTGGCTCCCAGTCGGCCTCGAAATAAATACGGGCGCAACGGCTGGATTTGCGCAGATGCTCGCGCAATCTTGGTGTCGACCAAAATTGCTTCCGACATGCCTCACACGCCGTCCCAAACCCGAAGGAACTGGCAGCCGCGTGTGAATGCACCTTGGAACGGTGCGACCCCAAAGCAGCCGCCGTGTCAAAAGACAAGGCACAGTCAGGGCAAACGAAGCACTGCTTGCGCACAATGCGGTCGCTCTCCATGCGATAGAAAGCCAGGCCATCTCTTTCAGCGCGGTCATGGGCGCTGGCCTTCTTGATCGCAGTAGGCACAAGATCTCTTCGGCTAAGGATGCTTTGACGTCGGAAAGCACGGAGCACGTGACGGGTTTGACTCACGCTGTAGGGAAACATGAGCCCAAGACCGCTTGTCTCATCACATCGTGCTGCAGCCTGGGTCAACTGAGCATCATCCAGCACAACAGCTACCCGCTGAAGGGCAGACCTCAAGGCCGCCAGCCAATCCGTACCTTGAACACAGCCCCTGAGGTATTGGTCGCCTTTAGCAACGACATACGCCCATGCTCGTATGATTGCTATGTCCAAGGCCTCCTGTGGAGTACAAACATCCAACAAGGCGCACACCTGAACGTCCGTCAAACGGCGGCATGGCACACGGTATAGAGGCCGCACGGCTCCGCGGACGAGCCCGATGTACTTGCGACAAAACAGAGCATGTGCTTGTTTGCTGCCCAACTCAAGCGTGCCAACGCCATGAAGGAACTTGGCCAGGACCATAGCCTTGAACATTTCCTGACGCTCCTTGCAAGTCAAGGAGTCATTGGCCATGACTCGGCGCTTGAAGGGCTGATACACTGCACGAGTCAGACACTCCCTCTTGCGAATGGCAGCCTCGCAGGATGCTGTATGCGTACAGATGATGCCCAGGTGTGTATACTCCGCAACGCACCGCAGCCGGAGTGAAGAGCTCCCTGGCACCTCGACATCGAGGCACCCATTATCGTCGATGAAAATCTGCCTCCGAATTTTTGCTGCACCCTGCCCTGCTAGCACCAGCACAGCTTCCGTCTTGCCGACAGAATAATTCACCTCGACTCCAGTAACAGCCAGGTATTGATGGGCGAGGCTGGCAGCGCGAGCAGTGGCCAAAGGAACTTGCGTGGCATCAGACGCACCTATAAGCAATGCTACGTCGTCCAGCCAAGATTGCGGAAGAGCAACCCCGCCTGAACCACAAACAGCAGCTATGCCTTCTGACGCGAGATGCTCCGAGAGGCAGCGAATCGAGGCTTCCGACACAAACTGATATAAGATATCAGCGAGTGGTGATCCCGGTGTCGTGCCTCGTAGGGTTGCCTGCACAATTGGCTGCTGTGTATCAACAACAAACCACGTCGAGGCAAACGCCGTTCGCAGTAGTTGCTGAGTGCCCCCAGGGACACCAGCTCGCTCAAGTGCACCACGGTCTGAAATTGCCTCTACAACCCGCCTGCGCACCTCATCCTCGAGTGGAAGGGATTGTATGTGTGCCTGCAAATCTGCCATATCGCCATCAAAGAGATGTGCCCGGTTGACGGCATAGAAGGCTGAAGCCCCATCCAAGTACAGCACTGCCCCCGACAAACCCTGGCGTTTCAAGCGGGATATGTGGCATTGCGTGCTGAGAGCAGCAAGGTCGGCAGGATGCCCCTTGCGTGCTCCTCCGACGGTGGGGAGAGCCAGGCGTTCAAACCACGCACTCAGGGATGGCCGGGTTGCCTTGAGGATGCCTTTTGCTGCTGGCTCTACCAAGGCAACAGAGCGATATCCCTCCAATTTATGCCTAGGCTTGTTGGGCTTGGGTAGGGCGCACGCCAGCATGCCTGCCCACAGGGTGGGAAATTGCCGGCGGCTACAAATCTTCATCAAGATAGGCATATGCAACAGGGCCGCTTGCAATGGGCATCTGCTGTAGGCCTCCGATGGGATCTGGGCAATTCCAGCCGCTTTATTGGACTTGAGAGAAGCGAAGGATGCAGCCACCATTGCCGCAGTCGGAATCTCCTCAAGGTGAACTGGCGTTGGGGCCTCGCCTGACGTTCTAGAGGACATGGCACTCAACTTAGTCGGTGTGGCACATTCAGCAAGGCCAAAATGCGCAGCGAAGGCGGCTTTGACATGAGTGGGATCGCTGATGAGCTCGCCACTCACTTCCAGTTCAACCGCAAGCTCAGGAATGCGCGTATTACGACCACAGCGCAGGACAGAACGAATCTGCTTGGCCAGCGCATCTGGTCCCTGTTCGCGCGCTTCGCTGAACCGCGCACGAACAAAGTTCGCATCATCCTGCTTCTGGGTTTGGCGGGCAGCTATAGTCAAACGGCGCATGAGTCGGCCGTGCATAGCTGCCACCCGATCAAAGGCTTTGACTCGCGCACAGGAGGCACCGGTCTCAGGGCCGCGTGCCCATGCCGCGAAACATCGGGCCACAATCCACTTAGCAAAAAGAGCTTTCTGTCTGCGAAAGCATCGGCGTTGCTGTCGCTTAGCCTGCAGTATGGTCCATGTTGCAGAGCTGAGTCCTGGCTTACGAGGGCTACTCCGACTCATCGGAAACAAGGATGCCAGACCCTGCTGCAAGTGAGCATTAACTGCAGCGAGATGGTCATTCACAGAGACACACCATGGGATGGCAGGGGCGTGGGCATACAAGAGTCTAAGCTTGGCTACGCCCTCTGCAGAATTCATGGCAGCCCGATCTACCCGTGGTGGGGCACTTGCCGGTGCCTTTAACCGCAAGCTCGCAGCAGCAGTGATGGGTGAGTGATCAATGTCCGCATGCTCGTCCAGAATGGGCTGTATGCCTAAGTCGCTAAAACCGTCCGCCCATGTCGAGGGCCACACAAGGTAATTGAGACAAGCAGCAGCAGACCCATCGGGCGGCTTCCAAGACGGCCTGCTGGTTCCATCGGGCTCAAAAGCTCGAGATCGCCTAAGGCCGAACTCCTCAAGGAGAGCAGCGAAAGCTTCTGCATTGTTGTTGCCCGGAACTTCCTGTCCATCTCGTAGGATAAACCGAGCATTGGCATCCAACATCAACAACGGCGCCGTATTGGCTGGAATTGCCAGCAGGCGTTGCCGGAGCAAACACCACCATGCATCTCTGGCCTCCTGTGCCGAAACAGCTGAGGGGGCATGGCCAGCGAAGCAAGCCACGCGACAGTCCCCAATTTTAGCATAAACCACGATGAGGCGCGGATGACTAAAAGCAAAGCTGAAACTGTGCTTGGCCCATCCGATGCCGGGCGAGACATTAAACCACAACTGACACCCAAGTTGGCCGTCAGGAGCAGGCCCTGCAAAACGAATGACATTGCCGCACTTTTGCACAGGATCGACCGAAGCACGGCATTCTTGGAGCCCGAAAACAGCAAGGCCCTGGCGCTCAAGGAATGCCTGAAGGCACTGACGCTGCAAATTGGAAATGCAGGAGAGGGTGTTGTATGTGGCAAGCTTAAAATCGAGGGCGAACTCACAATCAGCGTGGTGCTGTCCTGCCGGGGCCCAATGAGCAGGCTGCTCGAAGGAGGTCTTGTCAGCTAGAGCGGCACTGGGCAGCAAGGAAAGGCCCATAGCCAGTCAAAGGAGCCCTCAACCACAAAGTCCACAAAGTGTTGCTCAGACCCCGCAGCTCGATGGGCAGCATGCCTCAGCGCAGCCTTGGCCAAGTAGTCAGCAAGCTCATTTCCCGGGTTTCCTTGGTGAGATTTGACATGGGCAAGGGCAGGTGCGCAACCCAACACCTCAAGGTACGCTGCCGTGGACGCAACCGCCCGCCGCAGGCTCGATGCAGCACACTTGGCAGTACGACATGAAACGACCCTAGCAGCACTGTCACAATCGTAGTAGACGGTGGCAGGAATGCGCTCATACGCCACGGTGCTCAGCGCCACAAGCTGTCCGAAAAGCTCCCCTGCAAAAGCATCTCCCGAATCAATCCTGGCATCGACCGTGTCAGCGAGGTATCCCCACCAACCCCATTTGCCATCGACACAGGCGATACACGCAACCGCCCAACTCGCACATGATGACTTGAAGGACCCGTCAACAAAGAAGAGCACAGCCGTTGGTCGTCGGGCCCGACTATGAACCGGGATGCCTGACAGCAGCCAGCGAGCTGCGGGGTGCATGCACACGTCATCCGGGACTTGGGCTCGGTATACGTCCAAGGCAAACCCGCGAAAGGCCAGCTCCAAGGCATCCTTAGGCACCGGCAAGTGCATAATGCTCTCAGGTGGGCCGGCATTGCACTCGGCAGCGGGGATGCATTCATCGAGCACAATCTTTACTGGCGTGTCGGTGCAACGGGTGACCCGACGACGCCCCAAAGGCGTGGGTATGAGCATCTGTGGCTGGACGGGCTGGCTAGGTACAGCATCCACAGCCCCCTGGGACTGTGCTTCATGCAGATCAACGGACCCATCGGCAGAAGAGCTAGGTCCATCCGAGAGGTACGGACGAGGTCCTGGCACCCGAGCCCATCCAATGTGCTCACCTGCTGGCGTGTCTGCCCTTGCAACTGTCAGAGATGGCACCCGTGCAGGCGGTGCAATTAGGTCTTGGCCAGAAGCAGACGCAGGCGGACAAATCGGAATTGAGTGCGGAATCTCGGCCGCCGCCAACGCTTCGTATGCATTACGTAAGCAGGGATGGCTGAGTCAGCAACTTCCGTCACAGAGATTACGTCGCCGTCCCTCCAATCTCGCGCAGGGCGTCTGCACAAAGATCGTGGTCGAATAGGGAGCGGGCCTACCACAATCGCCTTAGGGAGTATCAATAATATTGTTTGGTGAACAGGCCAGTCCATGTGCGCGATAAGCACAGCGCAAAATGGAGCCGCCGGGAGTGCCGTGGCAAACGTCGCACGATTAGGCGCGACGAGGGCCGTCTCATGTAGGCTAGTAAGGTGTGCTGGGCACCTCCAGTCCAACAACGCCAAGCCTTGCGCCGCCTCAGCCCGGCTGGGTACAACCGGCACGCCCAACCTGAAGCAAATAGGACCATGCGTTGGGCCAAGCACCAAACAGGCCCCTTCTTTGTGCCTCCACATACCCTGAGCAGTTCTGCGTTCACGTGCAGTACCTGTTACATTGAGCTGGTCGGAGCGCGGCCCAATGCCGAGGGGCCACGCATATGGTACGAGGGCAGGGAATGCGTCAAACAGGGACGCCAGTGGCCGGGACCTGGGCCTTCCACGTTGGTCTGCGAACTGGAGTAAATCCCCTGTGTCAGCATATCGTTGTGCAAGATTTTCCGGCGCACCATTAACCACCAGACTGACTCCCTCTCTTCGCCAGGCCGGGTTAACCAAGGAGTCACAGCGGACCCGACGCGAGAGGCGGGTGGACTGCAAGCCGTGTCCACCTGCGCGCTCGTCAACCACAACAACTGGGCAAGCATCATAATCAGGTCCCAAAACAAAGAAGAGGATCTCCTGGATCCCGTCGGTGAGCGGGGGTTGCTCCTTTGCTAGGGACACAAATACTTCATGGGACGGCGGATGGCGAGGAGCACAGGCAAACACATCCCGCACAAGCCGGCCCAGAATGCCATCGAGTTGTCTGCAGGGCGGCCAAACTTGCTCCTGGACCATACAGTCACCCCAGAGCAAGACAACCCGGTAAATCACCCCGATCGGTCGAACAGCCGGGTTGGTGGTGGTGGTGGATGTGGGTATGCCCCCACGCGAACTGGGGCCTGCATACATAGCGACCGGCGTATCAACATGCAGCCTGGCAGCGAGATGGCTTTCAACCTGGAAGTGCTGTACCTGCTCCAGGTCCAAAGGGAGGGCACCACCAACAAATCCTAGTGCATCAGTCACAGCAACCTGGCCTGAAACTATGTCATCTCTGAGGCGGGGGAGGTCAGGCTGAACCTGCTGCACCTTGCCCGCAAATTCGGCAACTTCCTCCCCAGGGAAGTGACCAGCAGTGCGGACATCACCTCCGACAGGTCGCAGATCCCAAGGCAAAGGCCACATAGCAACAGGGTCCCTGTCTCTTCCTAAGGACATTTGGGGTCTAGGTAGACCCGCAACCGGCACTGTCAGAATATGCACGCTTCTTACTCCAAAAGGGGCCGACCGTACAGCTGCCTGGGGCAAGGTAGCATGCCTGTCACGCCGCTGCACAGTCCAATGACGCACAACATCGAAAACAGTGAACATTTCTGCATCCTGCTGCTCGTCATCCGTACCCCATGAGAAATCACACACAGGGCCATGCTGGAACCTGGCATCCCCGAAGTAAGTAGGCAACAGCTGGGGGCCGGCTGAATGAACTCCTCCCGCTTTCAGGTCAACTGCAACGTTGCTCTTGGTAAGCAAAGCAGGCGGTTCAGCTGAAACAGGGGGGGGTTGCAGTGGCCAACCACTTGCTGGAACCGTAGCAATACTATCTCCAAGAACATCGGCAACGAAGGCAGCAGGGGTGGTGGTTGTGCTGGTACAGAGAGACATAGCGCCAGCAAAGGGAGGGCGACCCCGTCGTATTGCCAGCCACTGATAGGCAGGCAGCGCTCCATGCAGCTGCTCAATCACAAACCCATGGCAGTCTTGCACATACATCTCGCCCGCATCCATGATTGGCTCCAAAGAGCTACGACAGTCAGGAATCTCGTGGATAATGGCCTGGATGATATCTGGCAATCCCATGCCAGAGCAAAACGGAACTGCCACAACCTCCCCGCCCGGCAGACACCTCATATCAACCGGCAGCACACAGTAGGATTCATCAACCCCACAATCAGTCACAGTAACTTGTGGCTGCAGCAACTCAGGGAGAGGCGCTGTGACGACCTGAATACGACGGGCTCTGTCATCAAGATTGTCCGCAACCAAGCTGCACAGATCAAGCATGGTCCACGACACCGTGCCAATGAGACGAACAGGTGCACAACCTCTTGCAAACATATGAAAGTGCATCTGCCCGCCGTCCTCACGTCGAATGTGCCTATACAGCCCAAGCTGCGGCACCGGCACGTGCGCGCCTGGCGCAGTAAGCACACCGGACGGTAATAGCTCTACGCCACTCAAGTGCAAAGGCCGGTGCACAGGGCGCATTCGTAGATCTGGGTCAATGGTGGTTGTGGTAGTGGACGTGATGTCCTGCAGTTCCTCATCAGCAGGCTGCTGAAGACCAAGTCTCAAAGGGTCCACTTCCCCATCGAGCATATCACGTGCAACCCCAACCCCATGATCAGGAGGCCTGGCCGGAAGGGGGGGAATCACCATAGGACGTCCATCGCTACACACAACTGAAAAAGGCCGGCGTGGCAGCCGATCTTGAGGGCATTGAAACCGACATATGTCCCGAACCTCATCAGGCTGTAGGCCAGGAGTGATGCGAATGGTACAAATGCGCCCCTCAAACCCTCGGAAGTCGACCGGCAAAACAGTCTGAGTAGCCGCAAAGTCGCGCATAGTCACAGACACTTGCACACTCGGCAGACTACCAAGCTTGTCCTGTAAAAACGTCACCCCATTTAACCGCGGGTATAGGCTGAGCAGCTCCGACACAAGGTGTTCTAACGTCCATCCTCGTGGAAGCTGCCGAACGCGCACATGGTATGCTGTGTCAAACACAGCATACCGGTCAAATTGGCCCTCGCCCTCTGCAACAGCGCCTGCGGCACGGTGGCCAACAATCCACGCAAAATCAGTAATCATCCTGCATCGGACTTCTGGCCGATCAAGTTCGGCAGGGTAAATCGGGATCTGCGAGGAGAGGTGTAAACGGAGCGAAGGAAGGGAGCTTCCAACCGAAGGCATTTGGCGCGGCCGCATGAGAGACTCCGGCATCGACTGTTCGTCTGACTCCCGCCTAACAGAGGGAACCTCAAAGTAGGGACGCCCCAGATCCACGACATCGGGCGCGCCAGCAGCGAAAAGGCTGGCAGCTCCCGGCTCTGGAAAAGCCTGGGGTGTGTCGCCGGTATTAGGTTCTGGCACAGTACCTACTTTCCTGCAGCACAACTGCAACCTGTGACAACCGACACACTGCTGCAACCCGAAGCTTGCCGTCCTAACCTGAGATGGACTGTTGGAAGTGCCAGGCTGAACCCGCACATTCTGCGACTGAGGGCGATGACCAGGTCGACATGAACCTTGGTCAGAGCCAGCTGCAACACTCATTTGGGCGACCTGAGATGGACTGGTTGAAGTGCTGGGCAACACCCGCACATTCTGCGACTGAGGGCGATGATCTGGCCAACAAGTCTTGTCTTGTGTGTCAGCCCAGGGAGGTAGCAGTCGAGTCCAGCGGTTGAGCCATCTCCTAGAGGAGTCTGCCCCAAAAACAACTTGCATAGGTAGCACATGCTTGCGAAGATGCAAACATGGGCGCAGCCTACCTTGTTCCCCCTTTATACAACTGTACATGTCACTGTACATTGGCAAGTCACTGTCAGGCGGAGCGGTCCCAGTGCCACTGAAGAATGCACGTTCCCCGTAGGTGTCCCTACACCCCGCTACATCCACATCAACTGGCCCTCGACCTCCCATGCTAGGACCAGGACATGGGAAAGCAGGGACGCAGGTCGTTTCAAGGGCCCGTGCATTTTCCAGCACACTGGAAGAGCCCCTGTCAAATGCACCACCATAAGCACACGGTGCAGCTGCTTTTGGAAGGCGTGAAACCCTTCGTGGCTCCACCCCACTCAGAACTTTGGCCACCTGCAAAGCTCTGTCATAATCTGTCGGTACGGGCCACGTGCTGCCCGAAATGCGCGGATCCTCCCAGACTGAATGCACACCCCATGCATCCAGCTCCGAAATGGCAAACTGAAAGCCATCCATGATGGCCAAAATGCGAGCGGCATCGGCGCCCACATAGTCGTGTTCTTGCTCTATGCCATATAGCTCAACTCTTTCGAGGAGCGTACACGGCCCATACATAGCCTGGAGGCCTATGCATGGGCCTTGCCAGGGGGCAAGCCAAGCTGAAAGGATGTGCCACCAGCTTTGCCAGCCTCCACGCCGGCAGCCGGCTGTTTCTCGTCCTTGGCCGCCTCCTTGGATCCGTTCTCGCTTTGCTGGCCGCGTCGCGGCGTACGCGAGCCCTCTCGCCCTTGCCGCTGCGCCAGCTCCTCCGCATTCTGCTTCATCTCGCCCAACGCCGTCAGCATACGCCGCGCTGACTGCTGGCTTTCGGCAGTAGCCGCTTTGAGCCGCTGCTCCGTCTCCATGGCATTGTCCACCAAGGCCTCGGCATCCTCCATGTCCTTGTCGTTGGGCTCCGCCGTCTCCTTGTCGGCACCCGCCAAGCGCGCCAATTGCTGGGTCGCCTGCTGATCGGCCTGGGTCCACTGGAGTTCCGAATTGTCGAAGTTTTCGAGCACCTGTGTCTGCTCTGCAAGCTGCTTCTCGAGCAGCTCTGCTAGCTGTCCCAGATATGTGTGCCAGGCTTGCAGATATGTCGCTCTTTGCGCTTGGATCCTGGCCAAGGCTTGTCGCGCCTTGGATTGATCCGCCACTGCCTTGTGCATGGCCTTGGCACTTCCCTGAGTATTGGCCTCCTGCATGGCTGTAATCATCTGCTGTGCCGCCGGCGGCAGCACAGAAGACGACGAAGACAGGACCCCCAATAATGCCTCTAGTTGTGTCTTCTCCGGCGACGGCCCCACCTCCTGAACGGCCGGCTTCGGGTTGACCACCGCCGGTGCTGAAGGTACTGGAGGGATGGCTGACAGCGACGGCGGCAAAATGCCGTTTTCCTCGCCTTTGCCACTCCCTTTCTTGGCCTTGCCTTTGCCCTCCTTGCCATCGGAAGGAAATTTGCCACCGCCCTTGCGTCTTCGAGCTGGCGACTGGCTGTATCGCTTTCTCGGTGGCCGGTCGTCCTGCCGCCACGCGCCTCGCCAGGGGACATCCTCCCTTGGCGCCGTGTAGGACACATTGTCCGCGCACTGCTGCCAGTGCTGGCCACAGTCCGGACAAAACGTGGCTGATTGTCGTACTTGCCTTGCCGCTGGCCATGTTCCGAAGCTGTATCCTTTTCTCCACTGCTCCAGGTAGCGTGCTTTTGCTGTGGTGTCTCCGCAGCACCGAGCAAGCCAACTGTAGCGTCGACGGTGAGGCCTTTGCCCGTCCCGCAAGCCAAGATCGTAGAACAAACCTGGCTTTCGTTCGCGCTCTCCGAGCGCGACGATGCTGTGGTGTCTCCGCCGCCACAGCTTACGATCAAAACCCAAATCCACCAGCACCCCAAGAAGAGCATGTACAGGTAGAAGTCGAAAAAGGATTGAAACACAGGTGCCTCCCAAACCGGTTAGGCAAGGGAGGCAACGAGTGTTTTGCCAGCTACCGCAGTAGGGCAATCACCAGGTACCCTCGCTACGCGTACAGATACAGGCCCAAATAAATCCCCTCGCCCGGCGTACAGGGATGAAGACCAAGTCCAGCTGAAAACAGGGACCGGTCGATGCCGCGGGCACTTAAAAAAGGTGCCTCGCTTAGGGTTTCCAGCGCGAGCTACCCAAAAAGCTCGGGCCGTAACGCCTGGATTTTTTGGTTTAGGGTTTAGGGCTGAAAATCATAGTAAAGATCCCTCCATTGAGAGGTTCGATGCTTTAAGGATAAGGGATCATGTTCACTTCAGGGGTGGGAGCCCCAAAAACTGGCGTAACCCTTGTAAAGCCGAGCCGCCAACCCTGAACCCGAGCCCTACTTCAACTGAATCAACAGTCTAAATCAAAGAAAAAACTACAGGTGGGGAGTTTCGGGTATATAAAGGTTGAGGGCTTAAGGGACTAAGGGGTTTAGCTTAAAGGAAACTACAGGTGGGGAGTTTAGGGTATGTAGGGCTTCTATAAGGCTTCAATAAGGTAAAGAGACCTTCTGTAAGGCTCCTATAACGGTAACTACCCACCACTGCAAATGTCCTAGACTAAAGCACCAAACCCCAAGCAAGCAAAGTCCAGCATGAAACCAAAAAGCTCCTATGAACAAAAGCCTTAAACCCTGAACCCTGAACCCCTAAACCCCTAAACCCCTAACCCTTAAACCCTGAACCCTAAACCCCTAAACCCTTAAGCCCTAAACCCTTAAACCCTCAGACCCTAAACCTCTAAACCCCTAAACCCCTGAACCCTAAATCCCTAAGCCCTTAAACCCTGAACCCCTAAACCCCTAAACCCCTAACCCTTAAACCCTGAACCCTAAACCCCTAAACCCTTAAGCCCTAAACCCCTGAACCCTCAACCCCTAAACCCCTAAACCCTTAAACCCTCAGACCCTAAACCCCTAAACCCCTAAGCCCTAAACCCTAAATCCCTAAACCCTTAAAACTCTCTAAGCCTCGCTCCTTCAGGCGCTCGGCGTGGGGCGCCGCTCCGGCGCGCGCCGCGCTCTTCGAAGCGCCGTTCCAGGACCTATGAGTCTTCTGTGAGCCCAGAGAGCCCCATACCCCTTAATAAAGGAATATACCTTAAATCATAATATTAAGGCCCCTATAATTTTAAGGTATATTCCTTAATTAAGGGGTATGGGTCTTCTGTGAGGTTTTGTTT